ACCCCACCCACCCCCACACACACACACCAAATCTCCTCTGGGGTTTTTTCTCTACTCTGTTAAGCTCATCATGAAAGTTTCCTCTTCTAAATTCTAACTTGGGAGATCTTAATCACTTCATTCAATCTAAACTTGGCTATTTGTACAATTATTAGTAATTCTCAAATAAAAGTTTACAATGTCTTCTTGTCTTAATTAACCCGCTACACCTGTCTCAATAAAATAACAGGCTACCAGGTACTTCTGGAGTAAATGTTGTTTCATCTCCTTTATTTTGACATTTAACCGTAAAATTGTAATTATGTTCATCGATTTTTCTGATTCATATTTAAAGAAAATATATTGTCCTCAATTTTGTCATGCAGCAGTTCTTTTTTTTCAGTACTCAGGAAGTTTTAAAAAAAAATCTGCCACTTATGTCAGTATGCTTTTGACGTATGTTTACATCTTAACATCAATCTTGAAAACAGGAAGAATGTCTGAAGGTGGAAATGGCAATGCAGAAACAAGCATTGGAGCAAGTAAAAGAAGAGCGTGCCAGGGGAGAAAAAGCACTTGCCGAGGCTGTCGCAAGAACTGAAGACAAGTGTCACAAGGAGCTCCTTGCGGCTGTGGATTCTGCACGTAAAGAGGAAAAGAAAATTGCTGCAGATGCAGAAGCAAGAATGATCAAGTGAGCAAAGTCTTATAAATACCAGAATGCTGTTATAGTCATACATTTATATGGATTACTGTTCTTATGAAGAGAGATTCTAGCTTTACAAACATCCATGAATGCTCTCAAAGTTGATGACTCATTCACAATCATATTTGTCATATAAAAGGTGGAACTTTTATCTTTTGAAAATTGAACTATTATTATAGCTTTACTCAGTTTATGTGTTTTCAGTTCAAGTTTTTATTATATCATTTCCTTTGATGGGATTGTAAAATGCGGGCATAATAAATTTCTCGGCTAGAAAGGATGTTACACCAATCAAGTTGTGGTGATTCAGATTATGATATCAGTTGATAAAGGTAATCATCATTGTATTCATGAAGGTCGTTATGTGTAGTAGTCATATTCGTCTTTATTGTTTTCCCTTTCTCAAACCTGCTGAAGTTTGACTTTTCAGTGGTAACTCAAGCCTATTGACATCACAAATAACAAGTGACAGGCAATACAGAGACAACAAATTCATTCATATCCTCTACATATTTCAGCAGTATTGTGATTTATCTCAATATGGATAAAATATTTAAAAAGTAAAGTTGTTCCCACATCCGATCCGGACATTGGGGATTGTCAAAATTGTTAGTGAGACAACTTCCTGAGCCTTCGGCATATTGTGGTAGGGTGGTCAGTTCCTTTCCACGCCGTCTTTACTTCCCAAACTCGAAGTCAGGAACCCATTACTGCTGGGTGGGCAGGAGGGGGCGAAAAAAATCTGTGTCCGAACCGAGGCTCAAACAAAAATTCTATTGTAAAGAAATAAGTTAAGAGAGTTTAAAGTAGACCATATTGAGCTCACTGATTAAGTGCACCTTTGTCTGGTTTTATACACTGCAACCTGTCGCATAGACTTATTTACACTTTGAATCCACTTTTGTTCATTTTTTGTAGTTTTACAGACAATGAAAGCTGGCTAAGTTTTACTTACATAAATATGACAAAGGCCTGAGTTCAACACCATCAAGCATATAAACCATAATTATTTATACTTTCTTCATTTCTATTAATCTGTCTCTGTCTGTGTGTCTGCCTGCCTGCCTGCCTGCCCGCCTACCTGCCCACCCGTCTGTCTGTCTGTCTGTCTGTCTGTCTGTCTGTCTGTCTGTCTGTCTGTCTGTCTGTCTGTCTGTCTGTCTGCCTGTTTGCCCGCTA